AGTAAGGCGCAACTTCCATTCCAACTTTTTCTCCTCCTCCATGGTTTGTCGCTGCAAGGGATTTTCCTCTGCTTCCAACTCCCTTGCGAACGTCTCGCTCTCTGCCTGAGGGACAAGCAAGGATGCTTCCTCTTCCTCCCCGAGGGCCAAATTGGCCACCCACTCTGTCACCATCTTCTCAATTTTTGCCCTTATCTCTGGTGCGACATTGGGTTCCCCTCTTTCTTCTCTTCTTACATTTCTCTCTAGGGGAACCTCTACTTCCTCTTCTTTTTCTCCCGTCTCTACTTTGGCTTCTGCTTCCGCATCTATCGCCGCCACTTTCTCCTCCTGCTCCTTTTCCCATTTTTTCATCTCCTCCTCCATCTGTCTTTGCTTGGCCTTCCGCTCTTCTATCAAGGCCAGCGTCTTCGCCTGCTTTATTAACTCCTCCTCCATTTTCTGTTTTCTCTCTCTCAGCAGGGTGGCAGCTTGCTCTTCTTGCTCTCTACTATACGGGTTGGTAATCGCTCCTCCTCGCATGGTCACCATGGTGAAAGATGCACAACCTGTGAGAGTTCCACTCACCACTTCGACTTGCCACACACTGACTGATTGACTGACCGAGGACCACAAAATCCTCTCACATCCTGTCAACTAGGGTCTCTAACCTGGACCTACTTCTAGGCTGTCACTACGGAACTCTATTGCGGATCAGGAGCCATTGAAGGAGATCCCCTGTAACTCCTCAGGAATTCTTTAACGTCGCAATCAGGACGGGGTGATCAGCAGAGTTCTCTCAAGACTTAGACAGCCGTTTGTGCAGCCCACAGCTCGGATTTTGGGCCTACCATGCCACACTGAGCAGCCCACCGGCCTGTACCGGTCCTTGGGGACGTGTCATTCCTCATACATGGACTTAAGCCCTACTCAGCCCGTGTAGGTTTGGCCAACGCGGCTCTATGACCTCATGCACGGAGTCCTATCAACCTGGACAGAAGGGACTCCATGCAGAAAGAAGAGACAAACAGACTCAGCAAGTACCAAGGGGTGAGTGGACATCCACAGGCTGAGGGGGTAGGCAGGCTTGGCGAGATTATACTGACTGCAACTTGGTCAAAATCATGGTCAACGGACTCTGGTCAATGCTGGTCAATGGACGGTCAACTTGGTCAAACCTCCCGGTCAACCTTCCTGGTCGAAGCTCCAACCTTTGGCTATGGCTGCTGACCCTTCTCCTTGGCCAACCTCTCTCTCTCTCCCCTTCGCCAACCTCTCTCTCTCTCTCTCCTTCCCCTTCTCTCTTCTTCTTCGCCCACCTTGGCTATGGCTTCCTTCCCTCTCCTTCGTCTCTCCTTTCTCCTTCCTCGTTTCTCTCTTCTTTGTCACTCCCGGCCTTCTTCTTCGTTGCAAGGTCCGAGCTTGGCGGCTATGGCCGTGACCTTCTTCCTTGAGGCTGACAATGTTGTATCGCTCAACTCTCTCTCTCTCTCTCTCTCTCTCTCTCTCTCTCTCTCTCTCTTGTCATTCGTCGTCATCTTCCCAGGCTCGTCAGCTATGGCCGACCTTTCTACTTCGCTGTGCAGCGGACTTCTCTTCTCCAAGGCGCGCGGGTGTTCTTCGTTACCATGACAGTCTTCTCGACGGACGCAACAATGTCGCAGGGTGGACCTCAGCAACGGCGCAATGCAATGATGTGCAGCAGGCCGCGGGGCAACGTGGGAACCCGACACACGACCTGTTGGCAGCAGGCGCGCAGACTTCTACCAGGCGCGCGAAAAGGTTGTATCTGCGCAGGGCAGTGGGCACGCACGCAGCAAGAGCATCAAGGCACAAGTGCTGACGTGGCGCGCGATAACTATTAGGGCGCATGCGATAGCGGGCAGCGGGCCGCAGCTGGCAAGCGTGGGGACTGTCACTCGTGACGGGCAGCGCAGTAGCGGGCAGCGCGCATGCAATGATAGCGCGCACAACTGAAACGAACGCGTGCAGCAGACAATGAGGGGCGCGCAATCAGTGTGCAATACAGGTGTACACTCCCTTCTTCAGCCGTGCAAATAGCGAGCGACAGTTGGCGCATATAAGCGAGTGTGCGATCTATCGGCGCACGGCAGCGAGGAGCCACAAGCGCGCGAACTGTAGCACGCGTTCGAGCAATGACAGGCTCACAGCAACTACGAGGTGTGCGCGATATGGGGGAAAGCGTCCCTCCTCTCCTCTTCAGCGGCTCTCAACGGCGCCTATGTGGCACGATCCCTTCTTCAAGCTGATGTGGCACTCTCCTCTTCGATGACAACGACGATGATGGCGAGCGCTATGGTGACGTGGCAGCGGTGGCGATTGCGACTCCAACGGACAAGACAGCAGGAACCGGCTCTGATACCGATGAAACCAGACTTGTCTTTCTCGACACTCAGCATGTGCTAGATATATATGTACATGAATTAATCTCTCTTTTGAACCACCACTACCTCCGAACCTGTTTTTGCCGACCCTGATTTTCACTGGGCACCGAGTTTGGCCGAGCCGGTGCAGTTTCATCGAAGAAAGAAGAAGGGGAAAAAAAAGAAAAAGAAAAGGAAAAAAAAGAGACTTCCCGAACGCCTTGATAACCACCTGATACATTCGTCCAAGCACTTGTGCGACTGTGCCCTCAGTGAGGGCGTGTACGGGAAAAAACAGAGAAGCAACAAAAAAAAAAAGAAGGAATCCCTTTTCCTGTGATTGAGGGCAGATACATGATGCTACAGCAGTGAGACAGTTACGTGGCACACGTGAAACACGCCCTGCCTGGCTGGCAGGGCACTACATAGTGTAGCCAGATACATTCGCCCAAGCACTGGTACAACTTCCACCCTCGTGAGGGCCTTTCCCGACATCCCTGGAGTGGGGGCTCTTCGTTTTCTTTCTTTTTTTTTCTTCTTTTTTTTCTTTTTTTTTCCCGTCGGCCTCCAACCCTGCCCCGAGCCCCGTGTTTTCAGGAGTAGGCTACTAGATGGACTTTGAGTTTGCCTGGGAAAGGTAGTGGTGGTTTAAATTTTATAAAAAAAAGGATCCTTGTAAATCCACATATTTTTTTGCAAATTTTGAGGTCTATGAGTAATCCAAGGATCTGTAAAGATTCGACGAGTAGAATATCTTTTGCGTTTAGTATGACGATCAAGCTGGCAACTTGCGCCCACACAGAGCTCAGAGATAATGAAGCCAAGAACGCAGCTCAGATTCAAACTTGTCTTGGCCAGCTAAGGCCGACCTCTGTACTCTCAGCAACTTGTTCGTACACACACCCTGGATCTCCCTGGATGTCCCGCACACACACACGCAGTTCGCACGAACACACACACTCACACTCTCCCTCTATTCACACACACTAACACTACTAACTGCTGATGTGGCGGCTATGGCCACCGTCTCTCTCCTCCTACTAACAAACTATCGGCTATGGCCTATCTTCCTCCTCCTACTTGGGCACCTGCAGACCTTCGTACACAAGATGCTCCGACTGTGGTTCCGCTCGGCTCACAGGCAGAATGAATGAATGACTGATCGCTGCCTCTCTATTTATACTTTGGATTGTCGCTGGTCTACCTCTCTCCACCGGGCCTGAAGTGCACACAGTCCCGCATGGTACTTGATGACTTGACAAGGTGTGACTGGGACTGGGTACTGCTGACTGAGCAAGGTAAGACTACCCACTTGACCACTTGCCTACGGACTGCATACTAGGACTGACGAAGGGTCGGTTCCGGACCTTCCGGAAGACTGTGGACTTGACCCTTCAGTACTGTAGCAGCTACGACTTGACCGTTCAACACTGTAGCAGCTACGACTCCTACCACTGCTAAGACCTCTATCCTACAGACCTACGGTTCAAGACCCGACGATTACCCTACCTACAGCAGCAAACAGGCGACTTTCAAGACACAGGTTGGGGGTTTAAGTACACATGTGTCGACTGGTACCGTGCACGGGTAAGGGCGAAGTCTGGGGATTGAGCTCTGGGAACTGCAACTGCCACCACAAAGGTGAAAACCGTTTCACAGCCTACCATCACCAAGAAAACTTCCATGGGTGCAATCAATTTTCTGCAGTCCGTGTGTGTCGTCGTGGTACAAAACGAACCCTCCAACTGTGCAATCAAAATTTGGCAGCTTTTCTGCGAAACAATACCAGACTGTCTGAGCCACAAACAATTTCGTTATCTTATCCTGCGTGGTGTGCAGTACTACACACATTTGTATCATTGTTGTAATGATGCCTACCAAGTGTATGTATTGGGAATGCTGAGCATTCGTGCCATCTAGGAGCTGTTCAGTCTTTGTTCCATATGGCCTCGCATTGAGCTTTTATTGGCTGTTTTATTTGTTGGAGGTCATTGCATGCTCTGTTTTTTGCGTGTGACTGTATGTTTGCCCCTGTTTTTCCTGACGTCGTTGGTTTAACAAAACCGAATGGTACTATGTTTTTGAAACTTTTTTTTGTTTTTCTATTCGTCGGGAGCAACACGTGCTGGGAACCGGGCCCAGCATCCCTTATAGGACTATACAAGTCATTTGAAATACCAGGGCCATTACCTGGCTTCGGCTAAGAAAAATCTGAGAACTATTAAAGTAATTCAGGGAAATTTAGGAAAAACATGGATAACTGCTGACCTATTGCTAGGCTGCTCAAGCAGCTGTCTCTGGTTTTATACTTTTAGACTTTTAGTTCATGTCTTGTTTTACAGGGTGGTTCTGTGTAAAGGCATATTTTGTTAGTTCGGGATGTGTTCTGTTCATTGGGTGTTACTGTCTCTTCTTCTTATCAACCTGCTGCTTGCCTACTGCATTTGTGATAGTTGTTGGGTATTCACGGCACATTCTGTTTGTTGGGTGCTTGCGGTGTGTTCTATTTGTTGGGGGTGCTAGCAGAGCATGCCTTTTTGACAGTGTGGGGGGAAAAATGGTGCGTCGGTTATATTTATTGGGTGTTACTCCGGTTGCCTGTTATGTGCCTTTAATCGTTGGGGTTTGCTTGCGCAGGTGGAGCAGGGGAAAGTCGTTCAGTGCTTCAATGAGGATGGAAGAGCTGTCTGGGTCTGCTTTTGCTTGGGATTGCTGGCAGAATCCAGTGAAGAGCTTATCTATGTCATTCTGCAGGTTGGTTCACTGGCAATTGATAAGGGGGCTAGATATGTTTTTTTGTAAAACACCTAAAGGGCCTATAAACCTAAAACTTATGGTTCTGCGTGGGAGTTGTTCTTCACGCAGTGTAGAGTAATACTGCTTAGGCTAAGGAGATGCTTAGACCCCATCCCCTTTACTGGCGAAGTAGCCAGTGTAATACTGTAGAGTAATACTGCTTAGGCTAAGAAGATGCCTAGACCCCTTCCCCTTTACTGGCGAAGTAGCCAGTGTATTGACTGTGGCAGGGAACAGTAGGTTCAACTTCAGTCTTTCAATGCCTGTGGTAGTTTGTAGATAAATTGGGGTCGTCCTTAGGACCTCGATACAGTTCCTGCGGTTTGGTTTTGCAACATTGTCACTATGGCACTACTTGGAATCACTGCTGCCAGGTGCACATTCCACCCTCTTTTCTACACTTCTTTGTGAGCCTCCATTTTTTTTTCTTTTTTCTTTTTTCTTTTTTTTGGTTCATGCTTTCATAGCAGTCTGACTGTAATAACCACGTTGCGAGGCCGAAGGCACTGTCTCCTGATATCCAACTGCTGTACCGAATTTTGAAGAAACAGGGAAGTTTCAAACACGTGTTTGACTGTGAAGACTCCACTCGTGGGCAGGGATGGTCGTATGTAAAATACGCACAAGCACACATACACACATGACATACGTGGTTTTTTGCTAGGAAGATTTTCATGACCGGCCGGTCACCCAGGCACGACGCTCGGAATACCCGGGCATGGGGGGAAAACAAATATTAAAAAAAATAAAAAATTGGTGGTGGGGTTTTTCCGCGTTCTCCGAGAGGAGCCCAAATCCGGGCTCTTTTCTTTTTTTGAGTGTTGGCTGTCAAGGGGGGCCAAGGATGGTATAAATGAAATTTAAAGGGGATAAAGGGGTTTAAAGGGGGGTGCCTTAGTGTGATTTGGTTATTTTGTTTTTTTATCTTCAGTTCCGTGAGGAATTCTGATGTGACTCTCAGCCAAAAGTTGTTTGTATTGCAATTCTATTATTCTACACAACATATTTTTCTTTCAGAATTTTTTTTTTTTGTGTGCTGGTACTGCCCGGGCCCATGCCAGGGGGTCATGCCCGGCCGGTCACCCGGGCACCAAACCGGGCGTGATGTCGGGACCCGGGTGCCCGGAATATGTCCCTAGGTTTTTTGTTATCGACCTCAATGGTTTATGTTTGTTAGTATACGATGCTGTTAGAGACTTCCTGTTGTTCATTTTGGGCCGGATGGATACTTGGACATCTTTTTCATGTGGTACATGTGAGTTTTTTGTTGTTGTTGATGAGAGGGCTTAGACACTGTTTGCTGTGGGTGTGGTTTCCATGGTCTGCTGGTCTGGAGCACATGGAGAAGAAGGGTGGTCTCTAGGGCACTTTAAGCAGTGGCATTTCTGCTGTTGAGGGAGGTCTCGTGGTGTCAGGTCCGATTTGTGAAGTGTTCATGGACAGGATCAAAGGGCTTTCATTGTGGGCGAGGTTCCTATGGGACGAGTTTTTGGACTCTTTGGGGATGAGATTCCTACGGCGTGCTATATCTGGTGGAGCTCCTGGTGCTGTGTGAACCTTCTGGCCATGCATGCTGTTCTTTTTTTTTTGGTCTTTTGTTGGTAGCGAAGGCAGCAGTGCTTACATGGTAGGGCAGTCAGGTCTTTTGTTTGGGGATGCTTTTTTTTCAAGATACAGATTTGACTTTTATTGGCGTGTGTGTGTGTGTGTGTGTGTGTGTGTGTGTGTGTGTGAGAGAGAGAGAGAGAGAGAGAGAGAGAGAGAGAGAGAGAGCAGGATGTTCAGACGAGGAATGTTGATCACAATGGGCAGATCTGGAAACAAAACCTGCCACTCTCTCTCTCTCTCCCTCTGTAGAGGTCAGCAATTTGGATGGCATAACCTTGGGAAGCTGATCATATGAGCTTTCTCTCTGGAGGATATGTTCCCGCTCTCTCCCTCTCTCTCCCTTTCTCTCGATCATCATATGGGCTGCACTCCTTGCCTCACTGAAAGGGAAGCACAACAACACTGGAAAGGAATTTGAAGCTCAACAAGTGAAGACATCAAACACTGCACTGTTTAATAGTGTTTATGGAAAGTAATTGAACCACAAATGCTTAACGAAGGGCGTGCTGAGCTGTCTATGAGAGAGAATTGAACTGCAAATGTGGTATTTTCATATGTGGCCATTTTGATTTGAACCATCCCGAGCACCTATTTTTTTCAACCCCCTGCTTTCTCTCCCAGCTGGTCTTGGCCTTCTGGGAAGATGTGACATTGGGACTCTATCAAGGCCAATGAATTTATCACTTCGCTCCATGAGATGCCGGAAAGAAACACTAGCTGACATTTTGGAAAAGCAGAATAGGTAGTTGAGATGAGAACAGAAAAGGTTGAAACGACTCCCAGTATTCAGAATTTGTGTAGATTGAAAACAGAGCTTTGGGAAAATGAGGGAAGTCCATTTCTTGTGCTGGGAGTCTCTCTCTCATTTGTCTTAGCAATGCTCGTGCCCTTTCTTTTTCATTATTATTTAAACTTTAAAGCTGTCATCTCCTCATCGGGGCACATCTGTATATACATTTTTTTCTCTCAATTTTTTCGCACTATAGACCATCGGGGCACTTCTGAGACCGCGAACAGACCCTAGGGGCACTGCTAGCAAGCTCTACTCTGTGCGGGGAGTAGTACTCAAAGCTCCTAATCCTAGTAGAGGATGGCTGGACATTCACTCTTGCCAAGATCAGCTAGGGAGGGCGAGCCAACTTTCTCAGCTGGTGAACCCTAAGTCCGCTGCAGGGGGGCATGGGGGATCAAACAGATGGTGTGGGGAATTGAACCCCCGACGTCCTTTATGCCATGCTCTACCAAATGAGCTAGGCTGCTGGCTCAATGCTCAGGCCCTTTTGTTACTACCTCCACCCCTTTTTTCCGACCACGTTCAGCAATTCATCACGCCTCAGTGTTGGTGCAGTGCGTACCAGTACAGAGTTATAATTTTAACTAAGTTTCAATCCACTTCCCTGCACGACGACTCATGTTGCAAGTGGAGCCTCATCAGGGAACTGTTCAGGCAATCCTTTTGAGCGCTTATATCCTGTAAACCAGCTTTGCCCTGAATATATTTTGTCAAACCTGTTTTTGGTTTTCCCGACGTTGGAGCAGCAAACCCAACAAGTTCGGGCTATCGGGTCACAGCAGGGATGGCAATTGTGTGTACTTGGGTTTCTGCGATAATGTTTCAGCAGGGAAGAAAAGTTGTTTTCTTTTTCCGTATTTTTCCCAAACATGCTGGAACCTTTCTGCATCTGTGATCGTTTTCAATTTTTTTGGTCAAAGTGCAAGGAAGATGA